GCGTAAAATAACCTCTCAATTTATAAATAATTGTCAACGGAAAACCTCTGGGTTTGTAGACACCTGGGTTTAGAACGTTTAGTCCCATATGTGAAAACCCCAATTAACTCTTCACAACGTTTGTATCTGACAGTGTTGCAAAAATACAAGTTTCATTCCATTCTAAGTTAGGAAACTGGAGAAACTGAACAAGTTTCCCTTGTTGCTAATGCCACAAATATAACATTTTATTTTGAAAAAATATACAAAAATGTACCTACAAAGTGACTATTGTAACTTTATTAAAGTAATTCCTTCCTCCTTCATATTAATACTCAGGAATAGAGGGGATTTTATTTTTCAGCTCCTGAGACGAGGTGGAAAAACTGAACAGTTCCTTTTTGCCTGCATTTTTGCTTTTTCTACTTTGGGGGATCATCAACACGTTTGACTAAGGGGGTACACGTGATACGAGAAAATGGCTCAGGGGTCCACAAGTCAAAAACGTTGGGAACCACTGCTCTAAACCTACAGATGTAGTTTATCCCTTTATCTTCCAGAGGGCATTGGATCTGTTTGTAGCACAGAAGCTCCTACTTTAGCTCATCGATTTCATCTTGTTTACGGACAATATACAAAGAAATGAGTTTTTTGAGTTTGTTTGTTTGAGGGATGATATTCTGGCTTTCTCGTCACCTAACTATGTTGGCAACAGGGCAAATTTAAAAGTCCAGGGGTCTCATTTATCAAACATTGCGTAGAATCTTTAAAACCGTACTTAAGCTCAGCAAAAAAAAAGTACTTACGCCAAGTAGGTTTGTGATCTATCAAACATGGAGTATGCACAGCTGAACACAATCTCCGCTTCATAAATCAGAAACTAACGAGAATGTTTCTCAGCTCAATTTTAGTCACATCCCGCCCTCACCACGCCCACTTACTGCCATAAATGGTCAATGCAAAGCGCCTTGTGGATCTCATGCATTTACATAAGCCGGCTTGTTGCAGAATTTCGATCACGACCGCAGATCAAGGAAGCGCTATTTCACAGAAGCAGAAATTTAGGTATCTGTGGGTGAGGTGGAGAAATGAAAGGAAGTGCTTTTGCAAAACAAATAAGAGAAAATCCACGTATTGGCACAGCGTTGCTGAAGCTGTCAATGTTGTGAGTTCTTCAGAGAGATCTGTGGCGGATATATAAAAAGTGGTCCAATCAGGATTCGATTCCCAGACTCCCAGGTTAATGTCACACACACTAAAGCCGGGCGTACACTGTGCGACTTTTTCACTTTTTTGAGCCGATTTTCCAGTCGTGCGAGAATCACGACATCGGGGCGAGTTTTGCGCCGAGCGGTCGTGTAGTGTACAGGGGGTTACGAGAGGCGATTAACACCACGTGACCAGCTGCCGACCAGCAGTCGTGAGGTCGCACGGACTTCTGGCGTGTTTGAAATTTCGCTCGTCCCTCGTGAGGCTATCGCACTGTTGAAGCGGCGCTGCGAGCAGCTGCGACCCAAAATGTATCAGAACCGCTCACGGCGCGCATGCGCAATCCTGCATCAACGCCGCTCGCTCGCTATTTCCCTAATAACACACGCTGTTCTTTTTTGTTTCTACACGTTTTTTTACTCACAAAGATTGTCAAGAAAGCGTGTTTGTCGTGTTCATGTCAAATTAAACTGATCACAAAACACAGATTTACTTTCTTTATTTCGTTTTCCTCATCCAACCCCCATAAATCCCTGTGTGTCCTCCTGCAGCTCTCCCGAAGGACAACAGGCAAAACAAGACAAAAAAGTCTGTCGTGTTGAGTAAAAACGGCTATTTTTAGCATATTCTTAGGGCCGGCGTGTTGCTACCAGACGTACAGTGTGAGCAGTCAGGTCGCATGCGAGAACTGGGTCGTGGAGTGTGAGCGAATGACTCGTGAGATCTGCCCTGCGAGGAAGTCGTACAGTTTGAGCTGAAGCTGAACGCTGTGAGTGAAAAAGTCGCACAGTGTACGCCCGGCTTAACCAGTCAGCCAAACAGAGATCTCCCCTGCATGTAGCCAGGGCGCATGATCAATCGGGTCACAGTGACAGGACAGTGTCAGACTCATGAGTTTGTCTCAATCTGTCCCCCTGCTGATATTCTGCATTCCGTATTCTGCGCTTCAGGCTGTGTGTGTGTATGTGTGAGAATGTGCACGCATGTGTGTGTACGCGCACGTGTGGGGGGTCTTGTTCTGTGTGAAAACGAAGCAGTACAAGTGATAATGCTGCAGGATTTCATAACTGTATCCTTCTCAGCAGCAGCACTGCAGGTGCTCTCCATGTCCAACATGTGCGTAAGCCAGGTCCTTAGTCAACTTAAAGTTACACACAGTTTTCCGCTAAGTTTTCTTTCATAAATCCCAAAGTTTGCGTGGAAAGTTGCTTACACAGTTTTCCGACCCCATTTTGTGCATAAGCAACCTTGATAAATGAGGCCCCTGAGCCCCTGGGGCGTGTGACTTTCACCCGGGAGTCTTGGGATCGAATCCTGATCGGATCATTTTTTTATATCCGCCACAGATCTCTCTGAAGAACAAGAACTCAGCATTGACGGCTTCAGCAACACTGTGCCACTCCGGATTTTCTCTTATTTGTTTTGCAAAAGTACTTGCTTTCATTTCTCCACCTCACCCGCAGGTACCTAAACTTCTGCTTCTGTGAAATTGCGCCTCCTTGATCTGCCTTGATCTACGGTCACCATGTCATTGACGGAGCGCTGCAACAGCCGGCTTATGTATATGCATGAGATCCACAATGCACGTTGTATTGACTATTTATGGCAGTAAGTGGGCGTGGTGAGGGCGGGATGTGACTAAAATGCAACTGAGAAACATTCTCGTTAGTCTCCGATCTATGAAGCGGAGATTGCGTGCAGCTGTGCGTACTCCATGATTGATAATCACAAACCTACTTGGCGTAAGTACTTTTTTTTTTTTTTGCTGAGCTCAAGTATGGTTTTAGTAGATTCTACACAATGTTTGATAAATGAGACCCCATGTCATTTTTTAAGGGTTGTTTTATTTTGAAGGCCAAAAGTACTGGAGTATCTTGTCTTCCACACTCTCGTTTGCTAAAACTAAAAAACAGATTTGTGTTTCCATCCAGATCTAATCAATACAGATAAATGTTTTTGTAATTATCTTTTAATTAATTTTAAATAACTTGGGGGGGGGGGGGGGGGGGGGGGGTTCCCTCGGAGTCTACAGTTAATTGCAAATACCGCTTTAGCTCGTATTCCAGACATGTGTGGGGTATTGCTGCTCTCCAGTGGCGACACACTGAAACTACAAGTTGGCTCAAACAATTAAGAAATTTAACTGGTTTATTAACAAGATAAACTACAAAAGCTTGAATGCAAATTCTTGTAGATTAAAGGATAAAATAGAAAGAGTAAAAACGTATTTGCACTTTAAAATAAAAACACACTTAAACCTGTATGTAATATCAGCTTAATATACTTTAATTACCTCTATTGTATAAGCATGCTTATTCAAAAGGCACAACATGAAATAACTTCTGCTATGTAAATTTAAAACGTAAATACATGACAGTAAAAATGTTTTCCAGTTTTATACATTTTTTTGCATGTAATGTTTTTTTTACACGGCAATCAATGGTCTATTTTGCCTTGGAAAACAAATTCTGCCTTAATATAGCTATTTTTCTCTCAAATACTTTATTAAACTAATTAAAACCCACTGGGGCATCACTGCAAAATGGCTAAAACTGGACTTTTTCTGCAAAACTGTCATTGCTTTTTAAACCCAGTTCTCTTCAGAATGACCTCGGTACCCCATTCATCCAAGAGAAGTAAATCTAAGATTTTTGCAAACGCAGCCCTGACCAAATTTTGTGTAACTTCTAATACCTTTATAAAGATAATCAGAAACACAGAAATCCTAATTTAAAAATACTCCTTAGTAGGGATGTAAGAAAATATCGATATGGCAATATATCGTAATATTTTTTTTCCAGCAATATTATATCGATATTCAAAAACCGTGTATCGGAAATATCGATATGGCAATATATCGTGATTTTTTCCTGTGATTATTACATCAATATTCAAAAGCCGTGTATCTAATTCTTGAAAGAATTTACATGCAAACTTTTGTGTATTTTCTTTTCGTTTTGTGCAATTTAATCGCCACCCGCTAGCTGGCAGCAGTGTGGAACAGGTTTTGTTTCCACCATTGAACTGTAAATCCCTCCATCATGGTTCAGATACCTCATGTTAAACATGCTACATATCAGTTTGGATTGTTTATTGAACATTCTTACAATAAATTCAGTAAAACAAAAAATTGCTTGTAACATCTGACTGAATGTATCGCAAGATATCGTGATATATCGTATCGCCCCCCCCCCTGTATCGTGATATGTATCGTATCGCCAGAATTAAAAAAATACACATCCCTGCTCTTTAGCGATACAGACATTAATATTTGAAATGAAGATTGCAACAGCGTTATTTGTCCACGAGAGGGCAGCAGAGGCCAGTTAGTGTTTCCAACGTTTGTATCACACAGAAATAAAACTTTAAAAAATGCAGCCTCTCTAGTCAGTAGAATTAAGCAAAATGTTCTCATCTGCATTTTAAACAAGAGTCTGAGCAGAAACGTCTCATAAAAAGGGACAAAAGCAATCCTCAGTAGGAAAGGTAACCGAGTACAGATGAGCCAGGCTGGTTCAACAGTGGATAAGAAATTGTTTATTTGACTTTAACATAATTACAAGGAAACCAAACAGTCTGCAACATTCTAGCTTCAGTGGGAATCGCTCTAAGTGAATCACACTCAACACAGTAGGTCATCTCAAACTGCTTTTTATTACATCTTAAATAACAGTACATTTTAATATAGTTTCTATCTTGCATCCAGCTTTCTGTTGTACACTGACTGACTTAAAATTAAATACAAAAGGTGAAAAGGGAGCGCGGGGGAGGGGGGGTGCAGAGCTCTACAGTTATTTGATGAAGAGAAAAGGAAAAAGGAATTTAATCATTTTTAATATTTTTATTTTGTTTTATTACTTGCCAACTCCAGGCCTAACGCACAATTACAGCACATTTTTGAACAGAATGTTGCAGAGAAATAACAAAATGGAAAATAATGTTCCTACCGCTAAAGAAAGAGTGCATTTGTTTAAGAGAACAGAAAATTCTGCCATTCAGATGCTGCAAGATACTTTTTAAAAACGTTTTTTTCCTATTAAAAGGACAAAAAAAAAACCTGTTATAAAATGTTTCTGTCAATGGAATTGTGTTTGCTACAGAAGGAATGAAAACGTTCTTTGTTCCATTTGGATTGTTTATGTTTAGGTAAATGAATGTGTACAATTTAAGCTTTTCCGTTACGTCTAAATTTGGGGAATCCCTCCCAAGAATGGCCCGAGTAACCGTTGATGTCGCGGGGTTTGCTCTCCAGTGCATAGCTCGACAATTTAGTTGAATCATGTATGCAGAGTAGCCAAAAAGAAAAGAAAAATATAAATACCATTGTACGGATATATTCAACAGGTTAGTTTCTTAAAAGTAAAACATCAAAAGGACTTAATTCCATATGCACCTTTTTAAGCAATTCTACAGCATGCGACTCTAAGAGATAACCCACCCATGGCAGACAACCAAAATCTTTTTTTTTTTTCGTTTTTAACTTAAAAAGTTTCAATATCATTATTTTCAAACATTGATTTATACAACATGTCATTCACAGAGTAGTAACTGCATTTCCAAGCGCGGAATGGGCACCTCTGTTAATGGAAAGATCCGGGTTGTGACCGGGATAAAGCGGAAGTTGTCTCAACTCGGCCGGATCGCAGGACCAGTCCCGGCGGCAGCAAACGAAAACCGGGGAAAAGAGAATCTAAACAAAAATGATAATAAAAAGGGTCCGATGGGTTAATCTTTAATTATTCTACACTGTTGTCAGAATGGTTAAAACGTGTTTTTTTTTCTTTGTTTTCCGTTTTAAAAACGAGCATTCATCATCATCATAAACAGCATGTGCTTGGTTAGTCGACTTTTTCTTTAGACATTATCCTATATATGCAAAGTTTTACTTTTGTGCAAACAAAGATCCGTGGACTACACTGGAAAAAAGAAACGGTAAAGTATCATGGAGCTAAATATACAGAAGGACCAGATGTGGCGCGAGGACTCCCTGTTGAAGCTGAACTCTCTCCGGTGGGATGAAGCTGGACCTAAAAAACAAAATGACGCGATCTGGAGCTCGACTGGACGTTGTTCTACCTAAAAACATTCTCTAAAACGTGTAAAGACTAGGAAGTAAAACAAAGCTTTGATCCTCGTTATAAACATGGCTGACCTACGTCTCTTCAGCAGGAAACAAGATAAAAGGTGGTGAAAAAGTGATGAAAGAATTAGATCACCGGCGTGCAATAACCTTCACTCAGACCTGTGCATAATGAGGATGAGGAACATGTCTGCTTAGGGGGGGGGGGGGGGGTTTCTGGTTTTTTTAATCACTAATTACAATACCAGACCACGGTCAGGAACGCACAACTTTCCCCTCCACCTTCAAAGGTTTCGTGTCTTTTTTCGAGCTGGATGAGTTACAGACAATTGTGCTCTTTTAAATGAGAAGGAGACAGAAGAGAATTTTTGCCCTTGATAGTTTTTTTGGGGAGTGGAGGGTGGGGGTGGGGGGGTGTTTGGAGTCAGTATCATGGTGTTTTTCAAAAAGATTGGATATGCAATAAAATTGAACATTGTGATGTTGGAATGGTCTTGCACTCAACTTTGGAGTCCGGATGCCATCTGTGGAGGAAAAGGATCAGAGGACAGGTTTTAAAATCAATGACATCTGTTGTGTCGCCCTCCCAACAGCCAGAGGGCAGCAGAGATCCACTCCTGAACTGATTTACCTTTAGACTCTAGTTCCAGATCTTAAGGAAGCTGTCCCAGGACCCTGTTGCCACTGCCATGCCGTCGTCAGTCACACCCAAGCAGCTCACTCGGTTATCGTGACCAGCCAGGACACCTGGGGACACAGACGAAGCGATGTTAGTCACACGCCTAAAACGGCATAAACATTCAGCTGGGAGACACCATAATCATTTTAAAACCACTAAAGGCGTAAAGGTTCCTGTTGGTTAGAAATGATGCTTTTCTATCTTAGTGTTGTGAAAAGCCTTAAAGGTCTCGTTGACTTGGTTTTCTGTCGTATTCTGTGGTTAAAACTGGAGACGTCCCGATTCAACTTCTTTACTTATACGATACCGATATTGCAGCCTTCAGTACCGACATACCCATAAACATCTACAGATTTCTCAGTAAACGAGACCTTTAAACAAATCTTAAAGGGACGATATCAAACAAGACCTGTTTTATGAGCTTTTGACCAAAAGCCTTCTATTGGGCCATTCCCATCTGTACCGGGTCGGCCCGGGCCGGGTAGCCCCAGTCGGCCCCAGCCTGGCCCGGTTGATTCCACACATCCTTGTCTTAAGCCCATGTGGGCTGATTCTACCCACCAATCAGAGGCTTGCTCTAATGGAAGGTGTGAATTTGCTGTCAGCAGTGGGTGTGTTGGCCCTGGTCGGCCTGAAGCAGACCCCCTCGAGAAGAGGGCTGAGAATGAGCCTTGGTTGGCCCGGAAAAATACCAGGCCACCCAGATATGTAAACAACCTACGCTACCCGGCCCCGGCTGACCCGGTACAGATGGGAATGGCCCTTATGTGGGTCTGGGCGTCCGGCGTGAATCTTCCAGCCTCAACTGCAGCTTCCCTTCAGGTCTGCCCCGCTGTTGCAAGCAGCTGGATGGGTTTACATCATCATGCACCACTCCTGTAAAGCCTGGGACCCTCCTCTCCTGGACTGTAAACACTAACACCCAGCCTCTCTGAGTAGATAGCGGCGAGTTTGATCTCAATAACCGTGAAGGATTGACTTCTCTCTTATCTAGTCTGCACTTGTGAAAATGCCTACAACGTGAAACTGCATTTATTCTAAACTACAACTGAATTCTCACACAAGAGCTCTAATGAAGAGAATTAATTGTGTCTGAATAAGAAACGTGTCCGTTTGAGCAGCTGAAACGACAGTCCGGATGTCTGGTGTTGCGGATCTGAGCGCAGGAGAGCAAGCATTTAAACCGACTCTGCCTTTATTCTAGCCGTGTGTGTCGATGAAGGAAAAAGTACACCTGTGTGTAAACAGCACTGTGCTCCACCTGACCCCCCAACTATGCAGGTGAATATCTGAGCAGTCTCCCGACTTCTGGAGCGAGTGAGGCTTGTTCTTTCAGACGCCCGGTTCTACAAACACCAGCACGGGGTTCAGGTCCAGCTTCTGAGAAAATCTGCTTGGTGCTGGAATGGTTTCCTTCTCCTGATGAACACATTTGATTTTCACCAAAACCGTTACGTTGTGTCACTACAACAGCTGACGATTTAAGCTGTTTGTAAACAGATTTGAAGCTGATCACTTGATTATGGTTGAAAATGTGCAACATCAATCCAAAACTTTCAGCTTTCCGGTAGATTTTGGCCAAATTGCAAAAACAACTTACTTCCAAAAAGCTGTCTGCAGCTGTATCCTGTATTCTATCAGTGTGTCTAACAGATAAATGTTTGATTATTCAGCCTGATGATTCACAGCTTTGTTTGGACATCTTGACAAGTAGCTGACCTATCAACTATGTGACTCTCCAAGATAGAGGTGTGTAAAACTCAGCCACAATATGACAAAGTCCAAAGGTGGAGAAACACGCCTGCTGGAGTGTAGGAGGCAAACCTCCTCACACACACTTTACTTTTACCGTAACACACAGACGTGGTTAGCCTAAAACCCCTCAAATAAATTTGCTTTAAGGGAAAAAACATCCAGTTATTCAGCTTAACAAGTTGTTTACAGGTGTGATCCTCTCACCTGCACGGTCGCCCTTCAACGCGTCCCAGACGTTGCAGTTGAAATCGTCATATCCAGCCAGGAGTAAACGGCCGCTCTTGGAGAAAGCTACAGAGGTGATACCGCAGATGATGTTGTCGTGTGAGTAAACCATCAGCTCCTGGTCGGCGCGCAGGTCAAAGAGCCTGCAGGTGGCGTCGTCGGAGCCCGTGGCAAAAGCGTTGCCATTAGGGAAGAACTACAACAAGACAGGGCGGATATGTCTTACACCTCTGTGCACAGGGCTCATATCACACAATCAGATGATCATCTCAGCAACGATGAGTCGAAGAGTCTAGCAATGGTTATAGAACAAAGTTCTTGAATGTGCACACTCAAATTATTTGGTTCATGCAAGGAAAAGAACAGGATATGTAAACAATCAGGTTACAGGTCACTGATGAGCAACAAAGGTGCCGCCGTTTATCGAGTGTTGAAGGAGACGTGGAAATGGTGTGTAAGGTTTGTGTTATTGAGTGTTTCCGTACACAGATGGCATTGATGTCTGACTCGTGGCCGGTGAAGGTCTGTCGGCACATTCCTTCTCTGATGTCCCAGAGCTTGGCTGAGGCATCGCAGGCTCCGGACACAAACAGCCTCGTGTCGGGCGCCAGGGAGAGACTCATCACATCGCCGGTGTGTCCGGCAAACGTAGTCGTCTGCTGACCGGTCTCGATGTCCCACAGAGCGCTGCAACAACAGGAGAGAATTTATGAAATCTTTTCCTCCAGAGGTTAGTTATTAACCCAAGACCAGATCTGAAAAGCTGAATGTTTACCCTAACAGACCCATTATTCTGGATATGGTGGATAAAATGACAGCCACCTGCTAAACTAACTTGTACATTGTATTTAATAAAGTCTGAAAACAAACACATCAATGACGGCTTTAATTTTAGAAATATGACAGAGTTTACAATGTTGAGGAAAAGCTGTTAAAACGTTTTTTGAGGCGCTTCTTTATGGTGACGTTGAAATAAACAGTATTGGTTGCAATACCCCAACTCACCAGGTGGTGTCTCCAGAGCTGGTGACTATTTGGTTGTCATCCAGGAAGCGACAGCAGGACAAGTAACCTAAAAGAATGAAATAAACCGATTAGCGGCTCCAATGGAATCTTTGTATCCCGTTTTGATAGAAGGCAACGATTCCATCATTTCCCCTGCAGACGAGGACTTAAAAGCATCACACCCACAGAGAAAGCTGTGTGTGTGTGTGTGAGTGTGTGTGTAGCCTAATTGAAGACCACAAACAGAAAATAAGCTGATCTCCTGCTTCACGACTTGCTTCCATAATTCATCCATTACTAGTTGGCAGGGTGTGTGCACCCCTCCCTGTAGTGAGGAAAGTGGAACTAAAATGCTGACACACTTCCTGTGTCATGTGACACTGATCAGATGAATGCTCCTTGCTTAAGCGCCCCACACTCATTAGTTTGCGATGGTGGAAGGTCTGCACACCATCTGATTTCAGTAGAGAAAGTGTGACTGGCATCGGGGGTGGGGTGGGGGGTTAAATGTCTTAAAATGGTTACATCCGAGTTCTTTGTACGGATCTGGGAGAGTCGGAAATGAAGGAAAATATTTTAAATGTCACAAATTGTCCAGATGTGCTGTAATGGACTCAGTTTGTTGACCAGTCACAAAGTAAAGAATCGGATCTACAACAATGTGAGCTACATCCTTACACCACCTCACTAATCGCAGACCACTGTCCTCTTATTGGAACACATTTCTTGGCTATTTGGGAAAATTCAGAACATTTAAACTAAAAAAAAAAAGTTTTATACTGATACAATATAGAGACACTTTAAGAGTTTGTGTCAAACAGTTTTTGTTGCTCTACAGCATCAACAGGATCCACCATTACTCTCCAAAGCTAAATTAAAGAAAGCTAGGTGGATACAAGCCAACAGGAATGTCGGGTCTACCTGTGTGTCCAGCCAGCTCGCGGCTGACGCGCACATTTCCTTCACGGGTCTTCAGATTGTAGATGGAGCAGATGTTATCCAGGCCACCACAGGCGACGTAGTTCCCAGAAGGGGCGTAGGCGCACGTCATCACCCAGGAGGAGCGCAACGGGATGGCATGGACCTGGAAGAGAGTAGCAAGGAGGATATAATATTAGATAATATGCAGTGACGGATGGAGGGGGTGGAGGGGCAATGTGACATCGTGTGTCTGCAACTAGGGCTGAAACGATTCCTCGAGTACCTCAAATAACTCGAGAACAAAAAAGCCTCGAGTCAAATTCTCTGCCTCGAGGCTTCGTTTAATTCATGTTTAATTAATTCATGGCTTTGCAATCGCCCAGGGTCATGTTTCACCCGGACCGAAATAAGTGACGCACATACACACTGCACTGAATGCACACGCGAGTAGCGAATGTAACGTGGACCCCGGTGGAGTGCGAAAAAGACAGAAACTGTCAAAGGTGTGGGACCATTTTTCACGTCGGAAGGTGGAAAACGTAGTCCAGTGTAAATACTGTAGAATGGATTTAGCCTACCACAACACCACATCCTCCATGCTGCAGCACCTGACATCCACATGTACATGTCACTTCTGCAAGCGGACTCGGAGGTCCGCTCTATATCCTGCGGACACTGAGCAACTTTTTCGTCTGTAGCGCTCAGTTTCAGCTCACACTGTGTGTCTGGTAGCAACACGTCAGACCTAAAATGTGCTAAAAATAGCTGTTTTTACACAACGTGTCAGACTTTTTACTGTGTTGTTATTGATGTCCGTTGTCCCTCGGGTTTGCTGCAGGAGGACACAGGTATTTATGAGAGGAAAACGAAAGAAAGTAAATAAATGTTTTGTGATCAGTATAATTTGACAAAACCACGGCAAACATGCTTTCTCGACAATCCTTGTTATTGTGCGAGAAAAAAGCATGTAGAAATTAAAACGGACGTGTGTTAGTAGGAAAATGGCTGGCGAGCCATGTTTGCGCACGCGCCGTGAGCGGTTCTGGTGCTGTTTGGGCCGCAGCCGCTCACAGCGCTACTTCACCAGTTACCCTCCTAGCCTTTAGATTCTCGCACGAGGGGAAAATCGGCTCAGGTTGCACACTTATTTTTTGCACACGGATTTGTTTACTGTGAAGTAAAGTTGAAGTGGTGAGGTTTAGAAAACTAATTTTGAATAAAACTTGAAAAATAACTGGCAATTGCGTGCTCATCTTAAGAGGTCTTTCATATTTTATAACATGCTATTTGATACAATGGTTTACAAACACAAAAGGGTAATTTATTAGAGTACTCGATTAATCGATAAAAGGTTCAATAGAGTACTCGATTACAAAAATATTCAATAGCTGCAGCCCTATCTGCAACGTTAACCTATAAATAGCTTTTATTGGCAACTACAAACACATGTTGAGCGCATCTTCTGAAAATCTGGCGCTAGTCGTTAAAATAATGAAAATGACAGCGTTCAGGGGTTAGGGTCATTTATGCAATTAAAACTAACTTTAACTTGTTATTGTGACATTTGTCAGCTGGAATTTCTTTAATTGTTCTTTTTTGATCTGCTGTAAAACATTTGTTATTAAACAGGAAGTTTGAGACTGTTGTTTACGAAATGCTCAGATCTGACATCATCATTACGGCATCACATGCATTCAGTCTGCAGATCTAGTAGAGATTCACCATGGACCAGGACCTTACACTACAGGTGCCAGGTATGGCCGAGTCCCAAAAAATGATGATTCATGAAGTAAATACATCCATGCAAAAGTCATTGTTCATTTATTTTATTGCAGATGATATTGCAGTAAAGCTGCCAAGCTAGCTGTGCACAGAATAGCAGCTAATTTCATCCTGCAGCTAATTTTTTTGGATCTCTACATTTTGCCCTTTAAACAAATTCTCTAAGCCTGATCTACCTGGGACACCTCTCCACTTCATCGCTTTAATCTTTGCACACATACCTGGATTATAACCAAACTGCGAGGAACATTTCCCATTAATATCTACAACTGTATTAAAGTTTTAGGCTGTTCAGAATGGTTTATTAGTGGTAATGCGGTCGTTTTTACCTTGTTTGTGGTATAGCTGTCCCAAATAATGAGTTTGCCATCCTGGGAGGCGCTGACCAAAAGCCTGGTAAAAAGAGAAAAAGATTTTATTACTGAATTCACATTTTTAAATGACCAGTCCTGCCAAACAGCTGTAAAGGTTTTGAACCAGCAGTTGCATGAAGGTTATCAACCAAATCTTTTGAACATAAACACAGATTTTCGTCTGTATCCTACTTCCTGTCAAACATCACTAGTCTTGTGTATGTTTGGACTTACACAGCCTGGGATTTACAGATGTTCGTACTTAAGTCGACATTTTCAACTACTTGTTACAGCAGAGAACCCTCCCAGGTAGCTCTGTGCTGCGTCTGTCATCTGTGTGAATCTAACAAGAGTAACCACAGCGATCGTCCCAATGCACACGGCTACAGCAGCAGGAGCGAACACAGCAAAGGCTGCAGGGACTCTGCCAGTCTTAACTACAGCACAATACTCCGCAGACATAAAAATCAGGGCAAAATGACTTGAGCTGGATATTCTCGTGCAAGTAAGTCGATGTGATCCAAGCACTTTGAAAGCTTCAGCAAAACAAAAGCAAGCAAACAAAAAGTTGGGTAGGAGCAGCAGAGTGTGCTTATTTCAGGTCAGCCACTTCTGATGGGAGGGTCGGTCAGCTGAGACAAAATGATGCCACACTCGGGAGTTGCTCAAACCTAGTCAGAATGGAGCTCTGACGGGGGTCCGATGAAGCCAGATTATCAACAGATTATCCTGCCATGTTGAGCTGAAAGCAAGTTTTCCGAGTAATAACAAAAGACAAAAAAAAAAAAAAAAAAAAAACCTTAACTGGCTAAATGACTCCAGTAACAAACATTAAACTCAACCTTCTCTGGAGCCGTTCATATTCAGATTTTTACTTCAAACTTTCCGTAACTGAAGCTGCCCGTCAACAGAGACGCCTCCTGATGGTTATTCCCAGGTGGAAAACGGGAACCACATCAACAGTTGTGATGTTTAAAGTGATGCCAGATACTTTAACCACCCCAGTGTGCTGCTTTAAAACGTAAAACTAACGTTTGTAATTTAATCTCCAACATTTCCTACTAAATATTTATTCAGTGACACGTTTTCAGCTTTTAATCAAGCAAAATTTTGCTCAACAGCACTCCAGATACCAACTATAACTTAAATTATTCTGTATATTGGCTGGATAATGATCAAAAATTTATACCAGGGTTAATGGACAGGAACTTTAAGAGGTGGAGAAACAAAGGCATTTCTGCATTATGCACAATTATGGAGAAAGGGAAATTAAAAAATTGGCAAAAAATCAAGAACGAATATGGGATACCAGACACAGGCTATTTTATGTAGGGATGCACCGATACTGGTATCGGTACTGGCACCGATACGATACCTGTATTGGTATCGGTAATAGTTAACCGATGCCAATGCAGTTGCTTGAAAATGGCTTCACTGTAACTTGTCATTTCTGTTCAACTAATATTTTAGTTTTGTAATGATTTCCATTCATATATTTTACTTTTTATCTCCCTCACAGTCTTTTCCTGTTGAAAGCAGAGAAGAAAATAAAATCTGCATCCCAAATCATTGCATTTTTTTGTGTGGTAGAAGTATCGGTATTGGTAATCGGTATCGGCGAGTACTCCGATCCAAGTATCGGTATCGGCGAGTACTCACTTTGACAAAAAGATAAGAGCAGGACTACCTCCAAAACTGAATAAGGTTACAGAAGTAATGAGCAACGCATACAAGGGAAATCAGGAAAAAATTGTCTCATTACTATATCAAAGGTTGGGGGAGAAGAAGGGGACATCATCTTTATATGTTCACGATAGGTGGGTTAAGGAAAGTGGAACATGGGTGAGTGACGATGAATGGTGGAACATTTGAAGTCCAGAAGTCCTCATCTAGTTCAAAGATGTGAAGAATGTTCTGCTGGAAAAATATGATTAAATTCTTTTTACCCCGTCGATGCAAAACAAATATTCTAGTATTCAACAAATTTGTTGGAGGAAATGTGGAAACAGGTAATCATTACCATATGTTCTGGGACTGTGCTAAATTAAAGAAGTATTGGAAAGATAGACAGTACAATAGGGGGGATGTTGGGCTACAAGATACCTTTGACTATTTATGCAATCTGATAAATGAAGACTTACAATATGAAGACAGATACCTGGTCAAACTCTTATTAGCAGATGCAAAGAAGGGGATAACAAGGAAATGGAGGAAGGAAGAACCACCAACGGTGAAGATCTGGGAGGACATTTTGAAGGAGATATACAGCTTGGAAAGACTGACTCACAAACTGAAACAGGAGGAACTCAACGAAAAATGGGAAAAATGGACAACATTCTATACACGAGGACACCACTAACTGGCCACACTGGAGAGGGGGAAAAAAAGGAGTGAAACCTCACTGATGCCCCGGGTTCTGGGAATGGTATGTTGTTGTTATTGTTGTTCTTGAAAATAATAAATGAGTTAAAAAAAGGATACTGTATGACCAGAACTCCCAGCTTTCGGATTACTTGCACAAATAAACAAGCAGTTTTGAGGATTGTAAGGAAAATCAGATTGTCTGCCAAAATCAAATCAGAACCACAATAATATGCATTATAATAAATATCTGAATTAGCTGAGGAGAAGATTTTATCAAAAGAAAATTCATTAGAGTCCAAATAACTTGTTTTTATGACCAACTAAAAAGTAAAAAAAAAACACAATCTTAAAATAAATCAGAGCCGTCCTAAAACTAAGGAACATCATAAAACCAGACAAGTGGATTCATTCAGAAAAATCTCAACAACTCCGATTCTCTGAAAACTGATGCCATTTAGAGAAAACTCCATGGTTATTAATATCAGGACATGAAAATCTTGACTTTTCTCATCAGTTGTAAAACTAGCATAGAAAAACTTACCGATTGTATAAAAGCACACATCTGTACCAACCACTTGGGTAATTTTCTGTCCGAATCACTGAATATAAACTTTAATCATGTTTTATTACAACAGCTGACGGATTTATATTTTCTACCAGGCTTGTTAATTACAAGATGTCCAAAAGAAATCCACTTTTATGGTCACGACGTCGAGCCGAGCCCAGACTTTGGGTCAAAGGATCTTTTATCTGATCATCTTTTCTTTTCTGAGCAGCTGAGTTTCATAGGGACTCTATTGTGCTCTGATAAATAACCAGACTCCTCCGGAGGAATTTAAAAACAAAAACAGAACAGCCCAAACTTTCTTTTACCATTTGACTAAACAGATGACGTAGGTTTACAACACTCTGGACGACGGCTAGGCTAAAGCAACAGCAGTGCTGTGAATCAGGCTGTGAGGTTTATGGCTCATCTGTCTCGGCCATCAGCCTCAACACTTGCTTTAACAAAGGCTGACTCCATTTTGAGTATTTTCCCTACCCACATACCACGTCCCGATGCACACAAACATGGCACAGACACACTAAACAGTGCAGCCACTCCAACACCGACACACTCAGAACAGAACAAGAACTTTAGTGATTTGGTAGATTCATTTTGATTATTTAAATAAATGAAAAAAAAAAAAAAAAAAAAAAAAAAACATCCATTTAAAGATGTAGGATGAGGAAACAAGTAGCATAAAGACAGATTTTTATAATTCCGGTCTGATTATGGGGTAGAATGCAGCTGAATGAATTCACCTCGAGTCAGTTCCCCAGTGCATGGCATAGATTTTAGCCAGATGACCTCTCAGCGTCCGTCTGGTGCGCATCTGAATTCGGCCAACAGGGTCAATGTTAGCTGTGATCTAAACGGGAACAAAACAAAAAGTTACTTATCAACTATTTCCTGCTCTGTGAATACAAACTTCAGTGAAAGAATTATTTAGGGTGATACACTGAAAAAACCCGTCCTCGCTAAATAAAAGCTTATTAAATTGTACCAGTTAAAGCCTCATATTTTACCTGAGACAGGGTAGCATCTGCACACGCTTTCCTGGCATCCTAGGGGGGAAAAAACAGTCAAATTGTAATGGAGTGTATGCAAAAGAGTAGTTAGCATCACATGAACAAAAAACAGTTACAACCAGTTCACCAAATGTCATTTATTTAAACATCATTAATAACTTGTGACAGAAAAGTGTAAAAGAATATTTGTCTTAGCAAATCATTTTAATGTTATGTTGCAGAAACTGTCTGAAATCTAGTACAGTGGAAAAAAATACAATGTTGTCATTTTACAACCATGTTTGATCATTGATTCTGTGTGTTTTGACAGTGGCAGGGTATCTGCAGGTTTAAGGGAGCCACATTTAAGACCTTTTAAGACCTTTTTTAAGGCCACTTTGACCAAATTTAAGCTATTTTTTAAATTAAATTTAAGCTATAATTTCCAGCTATTGCCTGGAACCGGTGCTAACCACGTAGCGAACGTGGCATTAGCCATCCAGTTACCATTAAACTTGCACTTACCCATGGCGCGAGCTCCTACTAGCTTAACCAGCTAATGTGCTCATCTAAAAATAGCCCCCTTTCACAACCAACTGAATGTGTACGGTTCCGCTTACGCCAACATCGTACACAAAAAATGCTGAACACTAACTAGAAATTCACGAAAATTTTATAGAAATAAAAGAATCTTGTTTATTGGGTCTTTGGTAATTTAAGACATTTGGAAACTGGATTTAAGGATTATTTGTCATTTTTAAGGATTTTTAGGGCCTTAAATTTGGAAAAGCTAATTTAAGACGTTTTAAGACTTTTTAAGGACCCGCGGATACCCTGCAGTGGTTTATTGAAGCACAATGTCTTTGATTATTTGATATGTGAAATGCTTCCTCTAAACAAACATCAGGCTTGATTTCCAACTCAACACCAATTAAACTAAACAAGCCAACCAACAGATTGTAAAAACGGGACTTACTCTGATTTGGTTCTTGAGCTGCTCAGCCTCCTGGCGTAGCTGATCCAGTTCGCTCATTTTCCTCTACTAATGGTGTGCTTTTGCTCCGCCGCCTAGACTCTTGCTGATCTACAGGGGACAAGAAATGACAAGGTGAGCATGCATCCCACACGCATGGCTCTCCTCATATCTGTACCAGCGGGGGTCTAAAGAGGCATGTTTGATGTTAGCCAAGAAAGAAACACACTTTTTGCTCCAGATTAGAATTTTTAGACTGTTCAGCAAAATGTGGCTGAATGTCAGAGTTTCCAATTCTGTGTGGCTCAGACAAAGTGGAAGCGAATCACTTTTGAGACAGCTCAAGACTTGTCCTTGCCAGCTTGAAACTGTAACCTAGCAACAAGCACTAGGCTGCTTCTTAAGGCTTAAGATAACAAATATGAGCATGGTGTTGAATTTGTTCGCTCCATCCTCCTAAACAGCAGCAAACCTTTGGGAAAATACTTTGCAACAAAGCAGGTAGTAACAGTGTCTCCAAACCAAGGAGGGGAAAAAAACAACAACTTTGACATCCAAAACAGAGAGAGAAAAAAGTAAAAAATACCTCCTGGTATAGTTTCTGAAATAACACAAGGATCAACAGTCCAGATATCAAGAAGACAGCCAAGAGACCACCTGGGCTTTGCTTTACTACTGCCCCAAGGTGTTCAGATGAGGGGCAAAGTTTGATAAAGCTGTCGATACTCTGTCCGGTAGACTCTAAACTCCCCTCCAATGTCATCCATGTAATCCTGGGACATGGTTGATTCAGCTCCTCCAGCCAAATCCGGTTAAGACAAAACCTGCTGATGATCCTAAAAGCAGTGGCTATCCCGCTGACCCCAATCCTCTGGTTGACGCTCTTACTATCGATACTTTCACTATCCATAAAATAAAAAAATGTTTTACCAAATAGAAGAGAGGCTCTCCAAACAAAAGCAAACTTGGGCTAAGGTGGTTACAGATAAACACTCAATAAAATTATCCATCCTGTTTTACATGAAAGTCCAAGACGTTACATTTCCAATACAGTTATCATTTATATCAAATCAGTTAAGTTGATGTTTAAACTACAGACACGTCTCCATGCTTCACTCTCACACCAGTTTGCAAGATCACTCAAATGTCGATTTTTATAAAACAATTTTTCTTTAGAAACTTTACCATCATAACAAATCTGTCAAACACAAGCTAACAAAAGTAACGTCTGCACTGCAAACACACCTTACCTCACTGTTTCTGTGTTTAGATACAAGTCCTTTGTCCTGGAGAGGGTTGAGACCTTCTGAATGAACACCTTATCCTACATGCACCTGAGACCTTAGCAGCTACCTGTCACCTGATTGGCCAACGCTGCAAAATGAGTCTGTATCTCAGCAAGGCACCTTAGCCCCTAATCTTAATGATAAAATGCCTCATGGTAATATCTGTATAATTCTTGTACTCTACGTCCTGAGTAAGGCAAAAATAAAATTAGACTTAAAGGTATGAAGGGTTAACCAGATATTAAAATAGGACCACATTTCAACCCGATTAGTGCACTAAAACATTGATGCAATGCATACTATAATAATCTAAAAAATCTTGTCCTTTACATCAACAATGCTGCAGCTAAACTAGTAACTTTCCCATGGCTTTACTTAGACCACAGGGTTTCTTAAGAATGTTGATGGTGGTAGCTGGTACGCATACCTTTTAGTAATGGTACTTTATTTGTATTTTCTTTAATATCAGAATAGTTTTTTAATTTAAATTTAACTTGTGAATTTATTCATGGTATATTTAACTCCTTCACTGCCAATGACGACTAAAGTAGTCATTTGCATTTTTTTACTGTTTGAGCATCGGAACGAGCCCCCGCACTGAGAGAACAAACATCTCAGCCCTGAAGCCGATCTTCATCTGCATACGTCACAGATCACATGATCAGGAAGCAACACATCCATGTGTTTGGAGATTGTTTTGGGCCGTTCCTGTAAAAAAAAGTGAGGCGCGAACTGGAAAAGCGTCTGCCGATCACAATTCGACAACAGATTATGAAAGAACGGATAACGCACGAAACACGCGGCTTCTTCCTGATGTAAGAGGTGAGTCTCCTCTTTGTTTTGGCATCGACATCATGCTAGCGCGCAACGTTCTGTGACTCTTAAAAAAACAGTAAAAACGGTGAGAAACGCTGGCAGCGAAGGCCGTTAGCGATCAGGAAACGGCTGGCAGTGAATGAGTTAATTTGTTTACCAAGAGAAAACCCTAACATCATTCTTTAATTACTATCAATAAATGTGAATTTAACAGACTTATAACACATTTTTACATGAGAAAAGGATATATTTAGTTGTTGTGTTTTAAGGGCATCTGACCTGAACCTGTTAGGAGTCTTGGCACTGTTAAAGTGTGCAAGTACATTCTGGGATGCATCAGGTGTTAATGGGTTAAACAAGAGAAACACGTGCTCAGTTGGCTGAGGTCAGGTGATCGGTGAAACTTATCAGGAAAATTCCCCTGCTTCAGTCTTCCTTCTGAAATATTAGTAAAAAATAAAATAAACGACAAAACCAATTCCAGCTTTGTATTTATGAATGGATTTTCTGTTTTGCTTGAAACTAAGTGCTGAAAGAAAAAAGATCTAAAATGCTAAATTTTCAAATCCAGGTTCTTTTTAAACCGCAAAAAACGAAACCTCCGCTGTCAAACTACAGGATAAGGCAGAACTCTGGTGTTTATGCGCATTAGCATAAGTGGTGTGATTCAGAGGAATTTCTTTTTCCCGTTTTATTTGTGGTGGGAGTGCTGAAGCCACTGGCAGCGCAACAGATAGAGCTTTGCCTTTGCTGCCTTCTCTTTCTACCAGCTATTTTTAGTTAGGTGGTGGGGGAGGAGGAGAAGGAGGAGGAGGAAAGCAGACTTCACATTTTCCAGCCACTCCTATCAGCTCCCACATCTCGAGTGCAACAGTGACAAGGAGAGAGGAAGTGTAATTTGACTCCATACAGACACACATTTCATTGTTATTTCTTCCTCCCAAACAGCAATAATCATGCATGCACCACCTATTTTTACACCGTTCAGAGCAATGGGTCCTCTGATATCTTTCCCGTTTTTTTTAAAGGTTTTAATAAAAAACTAACAAAGCACCAGCATTATAAAAAGGGGCTTTTACAAAGTTTAAACAAAATTGGTGCTCTGCAGTAGCATCTCTTTTGAAAGCTAAAGAAAAGCAGTGGGGTAAAACGTATAAAGGGATATTACCCATTAAACGGTCTAATGGGGTTTGGCGGTACATTTCTGGGGCAGACAAGAGGTTGTCACCCTGATGACATAAGGAAAAGGCACAGGCAAAGAGATGTTCTGATGCACTAGAGGATAGAAGCAAGTGAGGCAAGCTAGAGGACAGAGGCAGATTAAACTAATGAGAGTGAACAAGCAGAGGACAATTGGGAGGGTAGCTGCTAATTAACCCCTTGGTAGAGGGGAGCGAAGCACGTAAGCTTCCCTTCATCATAGTGGGAATACACGTTACTCTGGTTGCTTGGCCTTTGTAAAAGGCTGCTTTGATTCTATTTGTTTTTGGTCTACTAGAGTCTGAGTTAAGGGACATATACACCACATAATGTATAACGATAGAGGGGCTAGCCAAAAAAAAGTACCACAAAAACAACCCATGAGATAAAGTAAAAGGCCAGTTTCCCAGTGAAATGTTACCCTGCTGTATTAGTGTCTTTCTGTTCAAGTTCAGTTGCATTGACACCTAACTGCAATTTAGGAGTGCTATAAAATGTCCAACCAAGATGATTATTAATCCAAAAGCTTCAGTATTTGTTAGGGATGCACCGATCAGGTTTTTTGCTGCCGATCACCGATACCGATATCAAAGAATGCTGATCACCGATACCGATCACCGATACCGATCGCGTGGATTGGCCAGAAATTTTCTACAACATTATAATGAGTGCTACAAACTACATAATCTGGGAATAAAGGAAATGTAACCTAATCTAAAATGGTCTGTATTAGGGTTGTCACGGTGTGAAAATTTAACCTCACGGTTATTGTGACCAAAATTACCACGGTTTTCGGTATTATCGCGGTATTTTTTTTAAACGTGCTACATTTTCACACAATTAAATAAACCCTGTATGTCAGGAAATATTGTCCTCAGTTTGTGTCTAAATTTTGCCTAAAATGTGTTATTTTGTAATTATGTTGTTTATTTGTTTACATTAATTTCCTTTAGTCTTTAAAATACCAATATTTGCCCATAACTTTGTATTTTATGTCTGTTTGATGTCATCATTTAAAAATATTAGACCAGATGATACTCAGTACTCAAGTAGCCTTCTAATCAGATACTTTTTTTTTACCCTTACTTGAGCAATCCGTATTTCAGGAAAATATTGTCCTCGGTTTGTGTCCTTACCAGTGAGCTTTGCAGATGTGGGAAAAGGTCATCAGGCAGTAATCATTGTTAAATTCATAATTATTCTCTGAGAGAGACCAACTCTTATCTGCCCCTGGGAGCCCCGTAATGCATAGCGTCATTTCAACATGGGGGTAGGGCTGCAACAAACGATTATTTGGATAATCGATTAATCGGATGGGGTCTCGACACGATTAATCGATTAATCGGATTACATGGGGAAATTTTTAAAAACTGCTAGGGAAACGTTATTTCTCTCCTTCCTTCACTTATATTTAACACAACATTATTAGAAAACAGTTCAATAGCAGAAAAACAACATGCCATCACCTAAATTGTCTTATAAGGTGTATAGACAGAGACCCTAAGCTACATCTACCTGTGACCTAAAATGCTTGGTCCAAGTTAAACAGCTTAAGGGCAATTCTCATCTGTTTTGTTTGATCTCATCTGTTGACATATATTTTAAATGTAATTAAACATAGGCTGTGAATTAATCAAAATTGATCACTATTTCCAAAAATGACTGAAAAAATACCAAATAAAACAAAAGTAAATGAATGCCATCCTCCTTGCGATGATGCCCTGGGCAACTGCCATAAAGTCACATCAAGAAATGCTGCTGATCATTCCAATGATCCCAAATAGACTCACATTAGGCCACATGAAAGCA